ACACTCCAAATAAGAGCAACTGAGATTATAAATAGCTGTAAACGTAAACAAATAAATGCAAAGAAAGAATAGTGGCATGATGCCTGTGGAGCTAGGGGTGAAAAGGAAGAAAGAAACCTCATAGAAAGTTGGGAAATGAAAGGATCATTATTCAAATATATTGCCCTGTAAAATCAAACACTTTCATGAGATCCCTTAAAAATGAAAACTAAGGAAAAAATTGATTATTTTTTCACTTATAAGAATACTGAGCATGTCTTTTCAAGAATGTTTACATTAGGGGCTGGAAAGAAGCCTCACTGGTTAAGAGCACTGACTCCTCTTGTAGAGGACCCGGGTTTGATTCCCAGCACCCACATGGTGGCTACCAATCATCCATAACTCCAGTTCCAGGGGAATCTGACGTCCTCTTCTGACTTCTGCAGCACTGAATGACACAGGTACACTCACATACATGCAGGCAATACTTTCATACACATAAAATAAAAATATTAAATAAAAAATATATAAAAAAGAATGTTTACATTAATATGTTCTCTATAGAGTAGTTTGTATTTTCAAGTTCAATCCTAAGCACTGTTGTGCTACATTAAATTATTTAAAATCACTGATATTGTCATGGATATACATAATTTTCTAATGTAAAATGTGCACTATTTCTCACATGTATAATATTCAAGTAAATCACATAAATTTGCATAGGGAGATTAAGAAATATTGACATATGTGACCTTTTAAGTATTGTGCTGAATCAAACTCAGGGCCTCTTATCTTAGGTATCTAACACTACCTAAAACCAGAGCATGAGGTATGGAACAGTTGCGATGGTGTTCCATGTACAGGAGAGCAGAAAACTTATCTTTCATGATTTCCACTGTTTTGTTGGCAAGTAAGTCATGAACATTTGATTATGGTTACAAAATCAACTCCCAGAGTCTCAGGTGTTGAGTATTTGGGTGCTGAACATCAGGATTCAGAAAAAGATTTAAGGAAATTCTACTGGATCATGACCGTGACTTCATAACAGTTCCTCCATTCAGCTATGATTGGAAGAGAGTAGGCCACTGATGTACAACATTGAAGCACATCTTTTGCCTCAGTGCTTGGAGAGACCTTCTCTATTTCTACCTCAATCTTTGTTTCTCTCGCTCCTTCCTTCAGGATGAGAACTTTCCCCCACCACAGGGTTGCCATATTCCTACATATTCTTTCTCTGTAAGTCATATCAATAGAAACAAATAAACTTGTATCAAAACTTTGTAACAAAGATTTTTTTTAAAAAGCTTCTTCACTTTACTTGATATTTCAGGTATTTTGTCTCAACAGAGAAATTTCACTCTCACTTAACCATTGTGAATTTCTGTTTGTAGTCATCTGTTTCATTACATATTGTAGAAGGTGCACATACACGTAAGCATTCCTTTCTATTGCCTTAGTCTTAAGCTTTACCCAGAGTCTCACATGTTCATACCTTTCTATCAATGTAAAGGAAAATCCAAATCCATGTGTTCAGGTGTCCCATAAAGAGGTGGGGGGTAGTTGCAAAGAAAAATAGCCTCACTTTTTAAAAACATCAATACTCATAAATTAGGACTAAATGATAAAGCCAGGAAATCTTCATTATATTTATTGTAATGTCTCTAATACATCATTTAATCTCTATAAATAGATCATACAAATTATTTCAGAGTAAGTCCCCATGGAACAGAAGCCTGGGAAAAACCAATCCACTGATTTACCCAATTTTGAAAGATTATCCTTGTATTAGCATTTGCTTATCATCCACTGAAACAATGAGAGTTTTTATTTGGAAGAAAGATAATATTTTTTTCAATGAATTTCCATGTGACATCATTAAACACATGCTTGATTTATTAAAACATCAACTTATATGCAACTTTAAAACAGTTTCAAAATGAATCCAACACATTTTATTGAAAATGTATTTAAAAGAACTGAAGAAACAGGATTTCTTTAAATTAAATTGAGAACTTGGATGTCATTACACACCATTTTCAAAGAGCAACACTAAAATTTTAATATAGCCATGAATGAACATGTAAATATACTTGTAATGTTTTAAGATTATTTTTTCAATTTATACACAAAATTTTTACTAATAACATTCAAAAAATATTTAAAATTTTAGTTTAATAAAATATTAGTAATTCAATGGAGTTGCATTCATTTACCTTATAAAAAATATAGTTCATTTCAAATATTCAGGATTGGCTGTTTTGAATTAGCAGAGGACTGAAGCCCAGCACTGCTACTTTACACTGAAGTGCATTCGTAGTGCAGTCCGTAAATGAAGCAAATCAACCTTTTGATGTCATTCATGAAGTTTGCATGAGGCATTATTAATTCACACTGCAACTAATATTAGTGATGTCTTGATAATGAACGGATTCATTAGTTCTCATGCAGCCACTATTGAAACAAATTATCAAATACTCCCTAGAAAGCAAGACAAACTGGATTTCCATATTAAACTAACAAACAGTGTATAGTCTTCACAAAGCTATGGGTACTGGGAACACTACTAAGTTTTCTGTAGATATGATACTATCTTCATATATATCAATATACATTTTCATATATTTATGTTTTTGTGTAAATATAATAATTTATAATATCTGTATTAGTCACTTTTCTCTTGCTGTAATAGAAACATTGACCCGCACAATTTATTGAAGGAAGAGTTTATTTGAGCTTACAGTTTCAGGGGAATTGGAGTCCGTTATAGGAGGGAGGCATGGTGGCTGAAGGTAGCTGGAGCAGGAACAGCAGATGCTAAGCTCTCACATCATCACACAGGCACAGGAAGCAAGAGAGCAATGGGAGATCTTGCAAGGCTTAAGAACTCTCTAAGCCCACACCCAGTGTTGTGCTTCCTCCAGGATAGCCACACCTTCTAAAAACTCCCAAAACAGCGCCATCATCTGGGGACAAAATGTCCAAATACTTGGAGCCTATGGGGGACATTTTCATTCAAATCATCACATTCTACCCCCTGACCCCCATAGGCTCATGACCATATAAAATGCAAAATGCATTTAGTCCAACTTTAAAAGTCCCCATAGTCATTATCAGTCTCAATACTGTTTAAAGGTCCATAGTCCAAAGTCTCTTCTGAGACTCAGGTAAATATCTTAACTGTAAGCCTCTATAAAATCAAAAGACAAATTATGTACTCCCAATATACAATGGAATTGAATACACATTATGTGATGGCTAATTCTGGGTGTCAACTTGACTGGATGTGGGATTAACTGAAATGAAAGAGATCTTCTTAATTGGATCACCTTAAGGTGGAAGATACACCCTAAATGTGGGTGTTACCTTTTGATGGCAGCCCATATAAAAGGCCGTGGCAGAGGAGAACTCATTGCTTTTTGCTGCTTCCTTCTCTCTTGCTGGTGAGTTTGTCTTGCTGCTGTAGACTGAAGACTAGCCAATCTTTTGGAATTTGTCAGCCCTTCAGTGCCAGATTGGGATTACTGAGACATACAGCCTTGTGGACTGAGTGACTACAGATTCTCAGCCTCTCCAGTGTGATACAACCATCACTGGACTGCTGGGACTCTATCTTGTGAGCTAAGTTGATAAATCACTATACATAAATATTCATTCTACTGGTTCTGTTTCTTTAGAGAACCCTGACTAATATACGTTACCATTCCAAAAGGGAGGAATGTAGAGGCATAGTAAGGAAATACCAAACCAAAACAAGACTGAAAACCAGCAGGGCAAACACCAAATCCAGTAGCTCCATGTCCAACTTCTGGGACTTTACTTCCAATGGGCTTAGATGACTCAGCCTCTCTACCTTTGCAGTGTGCAACACACATCTCTCTCTGGGGCTGGTACCACTCCCTGTTTGCAGGTCTTCTTGGCAGATGCCTCACAGCTCTGGCATCATGGATGTCTTCTTGGGATCTCCACTGCCAACCAGGCTTCACCTTCACAGCTTCACAAAATGGCCTATCAGGGCCTTCTCTATGTAGGGGTACCACTGCTTCATGATGCCTGTCCTCTGAGGCTCTCTGAAACCACAGAGGAAGAATTGATGACCACTTCACTCTTCCATCTTTCCTGCCTCTAAAGCCAGCACCAAGTGAACAACATAGCCAAGTTTGACTGCAAGTTTGGGGTGGACTCCAGCCTGCTTTATCCCTGCAGCATTTTCCTTTCACAAGTTGGAGGCTTAACTGGGTGTGGTCTTGCCCTGAGGCACTCTCTCCATTGTTTAAGTTTGAATCTGAAGGCCCCTCCTTAATCACTTTAATCTCCTTAATCACATTAATCTCCTTATCAATGGAATCCTCTCCATCACATGCCAGGGCTCAAACATTAGTCTTCCTAGTGCTCCTTTTCAATTCATCCTGTATAGTCAGTATTTCTTTCTGCCCCATTTGCTCTTTTTCTTTGTAAATCTGTATAATATTCACCATTAAGAGCCATGCCACCATTTCTACATTAGGCTATCTTGAAATTTCTTGGGCCAGAGAAATTAGTTCATGAATTTTCAAATTAGCCTCAGGCAAGCTTTTTGGCTGTGGGCAGATTCCAGCCAGACTCTTTGCCAAAATATTCCAATTTCAGCTTAAGTCATTATTTTCCTCTGGAATTACATTGTTCTCAGCACTACTTTCTACCAGGCCCCTACCTGAATGGCCTATTAAGCTCCACTTACAGCAACCAACCACTTTTCTAGCCTAACCTTCCAAAGTCTTCCACATTTCTTCAAAACCCCACATGGTCAGGTTCTTCACAGCCAAGAGCCCACTCTCTGGTACCAATTACTGTATTAGTAGTCACTTTTCTGTTGCTGTGATAGAAACACTGACCCAAGCAATTTATAGAAGGAAGAGTTTATTTGAGCTTACGGTTCCAGGGGATTTACAGTTCATCATGGCAGGGAGGCATGGTGGCTGCAGGTGGCTGGAGCAGGAAAGCAGAAGTTCTCACATCATCACACAGGCACAGGAAGCAAGAGCGCAACTGGAGATCTGGCAAGGCTTAAGAATTTGCTAAGCCCACCCCCAGTGACCTGCTTCTTTCAGGATAGCCACACCTTTTAAAACCTCCAAAAACAGTGCCATCATCTGGGGCAAAATATCCAACTATGTGGAACCTATGGGAGACATTTTCATTCAAACCATCACAATATCTTATATAATAGCTTTAATTATCTTTCCATCAATAGGATTCTGACTTGGCAGAAAATGTCTCCCTGTAGCCACACCTGCCTGGAACTCATTATGTAGATCAGGCTGGCTTTAAACTCACAGAGATTTGCCTGCCTCTGCTGTACTGGGACTTTAGGTGACAATGTCTTCAATTTTTACCATTATCTGCCATTTTCAAAGACCTAGGCTAAAATGTAATAGGATAGTAAAATGTTAAAATCCAAAGATTGTAAGATAAGTTTTTATTTGTCTGTTTTTCTGTTTTTAACCACATCAAGTAATACTGAAAACATCTAACCATTCTTTCTATTGTGCTATGCAGCACTAAATTAATATACTTTACAGATCATTCTCACCCCTGAGTCATTGGAAATGATTGCTTTCAGATACTCAGGATTCTCATTTTCTTTTCCTATTTCCATTTTCCTTTTCATATTTTGGTAGAAATATGCCAAACATACATCACACTAAAATGCATTCTCACTCATAAAAAAATAAGAGAATCTGCTAAGACAAAGTTTCCTTGTCCATGAATTATTCAAGGAACATTTGGAACTAATGAAGCATTGCTAACGCATTGAAGGAAAATATATCCCTTCAACTCTGGGTCAAAAATTTTTATAAATTTTCATAGTATCTTTATAAATTAGAAAATATGAATTTGGGGGGATTTTGGCTGAGACAGAGTCTTCCTGTAGCCCTGGGTGATGCCAGACTCACAATGAACACCAGCCTGGCTTTGAACTCACAGAGATCTGTCTGCCTCTGCCTCCCGAGTCCTGGGATTATAGGCATGAGCCACCATACCCAATGAAAATATAAATTTAGTTGAAGGTAAAATTATCTATGGTTTCAAATGTTTGTAAATAAAACAGTCATGTCTATCAAAATGTCATATACCATTTGATGAAAATACAGAATTGACATAAATTTTTAAAATATTTTCTATAACACTCTAACTTATATTATGGTGAGTCTACTGTGTTGTAGCCTTTTTATTATGGAATTTCCACTGTTAAAAAGATATCTGGATAAATATTTTCCCCTTTCATATGCAAATTAAGATACTGCTACTTCATACACTTTAGGATTTTCCAAGTCACTTAAATGTGTTAACATTTTCACATACATGCTATTGAGAGAATATGTGGCAATTCATTGATACTTAGGTGCTTTATTAACACAGTGTATTCTCTGACAGCAAATAATGAGGTATTAGTCTTTGAATTCTGTGAGGTTCCTGTTCACTATGAAATCCCTGATGTTTTCTAAGAGAAGAGCCCTTTGTAAATTGTGGCTGACATGATATTTATCTGTAGATTTTCTATACATAAGGATTCTGTTATATGCAACATGACTGTATGGCAAAGTGAATGCTTTCTCACATTTTTTTATGTTGCTAGTTTCTCACAAATATGAATTAAAAATAAACTTTGGAGATTTTGCAATTTTGTACTTAATTATAAATTTTCCTTCAGTACACTATGAAGTTTTGTAATATATAAATATGTGTTCCAACATTTTCCAAACTTTTAGACATATCCCTTTAGTAGAGATTCTATTTTTTATTCTAAGGATTGAGTTTGGGGTAAAGGATGTACCACATTCTGAACAATTGTAAACTATCTCTTTAGTATGAGTTTTTGATAACTGCTGCCATTTGACATATGATTTAAAAAATTGCCACATTCCTTATATTGCAGTGTCTGCCTTTGCTGTACTTCTTTAATGTTCTCTAAGAGTTGAAAAACAATGGACTTCTCAAAACCTTTTCATTTGTGAGGTTTCTCTCCAGGAAGAATTCTCCGATGTCTTCTATGTGCTGAGCTCTCAGTCTGTCAAATTCATCTTATCAGAATGGTTACTTTCCAGTATGAATTCTCTGATGCAAGATTAAATATGACACAACTAAAGGACTTGTTACGTGCTTTATGTTTGTAGGGTTTCTTTCATGTATGAATTATATGATGTGCTCTAACATGAGCTATATTTTTAAAAGGGCTTCTTACATTCTTCACATTTGTAGGGATTCTCTCCAATATGAATTCTCTTATGTGTCTTATAAGCTGAGATCACCATAAAGGACTTGTCACATTCATCACATCTGTAGGGTTTCTCTCCATTATGTAATTACTGATGTCTCCTAAGATGTGATATTCGACCAAAGGACTTGCCACATTCTTCAAATCTATAAGGTTTCTCTACAGTATGTATTTGCTGATGTCTTCTAAGATGTGACATTTGACGAAAGGACTTGACACATTCTTCGCATTTGTAGGGTTTCTCTCCAGTATGTATTCGCTGATGTGCTCTAAGACTTGAACATTGACTAAAGGACTTGCCGCATTCTTCACATCTGTAGGGTTTCTCTCCAGTATGTATTCGTTGATGTACTCTAAGAACTAATATTTCACTAAAGGACTTGTCACATTCTTCACATCTGTAGGGTTTCTCTCCGGTATGTATTCGCTGATGTGCTCTAAGATTTGAGCATTTACTAAAGGACTTGCCACATTCTTCACATCTGTAGGGTTTCTCTCCTGTATGCATTCGCTGATGTAATTGAAATGTTGACAAATGAGTAAAGGCCTTGGCACATTCTTCACATCTGTAGGGTTTCTCTCCAGTATGTATTCGTTGATGTGCTCTAAGTTGTGATATTTGACTAAAGGACTTGCCACATTCTTCACATCTGTAGGGTTTCTCTCCTGTATGTATTCGCTGATGTGCTCTAAGACTTGTCCACTGACGAAAGGACTTGCCACATTCTTCACATCTGTAGGGTTTCTCTCCACTATGTATTCGCTGATGTGTTCTAAGACTTGATAACTGACTAAAGGACTTGCCACATTCTTCACATCTGTAGGGCTTCTCTCCAGTATGTATTCGCTGATGTGATCTAAGATTTGACCATTTAATAAAGGACTTGCCACATTCTTCACAATTGTAGGGTTTCTCTCCTGTATGCATTCGCTGATGTAAGTGAAATGTTGACATATGAGTAAAGGCCTTGGCACATTCTTCACATCTGTAGGGTTTCTCTCCCGTGTGTATTCGCTGATGTTCTCTAAGCTGTGACATTCGACTAAAGGACTTGCCACATTCTTCACATCTGTAGGGTTTCTCTCCACTATGTATTCGCTGATGTGTTATAAGACTTGACAATTGGCTAAACGACTTGCCACATTCTTCACATCTGTAGGGTTTCTCTACATTATACATCCTCTGATGTCTTCTAAGAGTTGAGTTCTCCAGGCAAAGGGAAAAAGAAGACAACAGTTTAATATGGAAAATAGGGCTAAGACAATCACACACAGATACATAAGGAGCATGTAATATGCATGAATACAATTTCCATCATTGAGAAGCATTCAAAGAACAAAAAATAAAAATCTTTGGAGTAAAAGAGGGAGACAAGGAGAGGGTGGTTCAGACCATCAGCAGGGTAGCTGCTTGGAGCTCAGCAGACTGCCAAAGAGTGTGGGGTTCTGGCCTCCCTCAGGCCTCCAACTACCAGAGGGCCTGAGAACCCAGGGGACAAGGTGACAGCCCCCAGATCCAGCTTCCACATGGTGGTGAGCTTCCCTTAATTGCACCATACCATCCCCCTACCTTGGATTTTGTGAGGCCCCTCCCAAGGCCCCAGGGCAGATCTGGCTTTGGTAGGCTAAGGCTGGGATCTCAGCAGACCGCCATAGAGTACCAAGTTCTGGCCCCCCTCTGCCCTCTCTTTGGCATAGGGTTTACAATGCACAGGACTGCCTGAGAGACCCTGGATCCTGCCTCCATGTGGTGAAGGAAACCTGAGTGTACTTGACTGGACCTGAATTGGGCTTTTGTGGGTACCCCTGAATAGCTGATCTGAAGCCATCAGTTCCCTCCAAAATAAACCTGAAAGAACCTGAACCCTGTACCAACCAGCTTTATATAACCAATAAAGAAAGGAGCTAGACAACCCGATAATACAAATAGAAGCATACTTCAACTTAATTCTCATATCAGAATCATAAACAACAAAAGAAATTCACATGTCAAAACTACAACGAAAGAATAATAAAATGGAAATCCAAAACACTATGTCCCCAGCAAAGCCCACCAATCCTGTAAAAGAATTCTACAAGGAGAACCCCCTAGAGATAATCCAGGACACTAAATTTAAAAGAACAATTGTAAACGTGATCAAGGAGCTCAACAAATTTAAAGAAAACACAAACAAATCAAAGAACTAAAACAAGACAGGGATAACCTCTGAATGAATTCACAAAAGAGATAGAAACATTGAAGAAACTCAGACAGAAATGAAGAAGGAAGTGCAAAACTCAATAAGTCAACTTGAAACAACAGGGGAAGGCCTCAACTCTACAATGAATGAAATGGATAACAAAATATCAACACTGGAGGATAAAGTTGAAGAATTGGATTACTCAAGCAAACAGCATGGAAAACTTAAAAAAACACAGGAATGGAATATGCAAGAGATGTTGGACACCATGAAAAGACCAAATCTATGGATCATAGGAATAGAGGAAGGAGAAGAATTTCAGGTTAATGGTGTTGAACAGATCTTAAACAGGATAGTAGAAGGGAG